CCCTACAACACTGCCCTGTGAACTGGGATCAGGTGACGGTGGCGGGGCCACAGGTTGGGCCTGGGCCGCGGGGTAGATGGGTGGTGGCATACTCGTTTGTGGTCCGGCTACTGGCGGCGTACTTCCCCATGGCACAATTGCGTTGATCACCGGCCAGGGCCACTGTCCATAGGAGGGCGCCCCACCTTGCGAGGGGCCCGTACTAGACGAGGGAGACGCCATATTTAAAGGGGCTGCTGCCTGGGTTTGAGGCGCCTGCGCTTTTCCTGATCCTTGTCCGCCCTGCGTCAAATTACGCACTTTGCGCTGGACCTTCGTCAGGTGCTGCAGCACCGGCTGTTCCTCTTCCCAGAGCTCCTCCTTACCAACCTCCTCTATCACTGACTCTTTTCCTTTTACTTTGACAGCCGTCACCACCCTCCTTTGCACCACTGGCTCTGCCGCATACCCTAGCTGTGCCAATACGTCTGTAACAATCCTTGTTACTCCCGGGGTCCCTGAAGCGGTCGCATCTCTTTGCTTTCTCTTCTGTCTTTGCAGGCGTACCTGACGTTGTTCCACCTGGTCCAAGCACCCAGCTTCCACCCCTCTGTCAATGGTGGCCCAGGTGAGCTTAGTGCTACCTCCTCCATGTCTCGTCAACTGGACGGCCTCGAATGTTGTGAGTAGCCCCAGGAAGATGGCGCACTCTGCTTCCTCCGAAATCCCATGGACCTTCCGCGCCCTCTTCTTAAATTCTTGAACAAAGGCCCCTATAGTCGTAAAATCCTCTTTGTTCATCGCTTCAAGGTCCGTGGTAGTCAACAACCCATCTCCCAGACGGTATTTTCTCTGCATCCCCTCCTTAAACCTCATCTATGACTTTCTTCACCTCCTGATGGTAGTTGTGGAGGACATACTGAAGGATGCGTTGAAACTTTACAACATCCGGCCGCCCGACCAAAGCTTGTTCCACCCGCTCTACCCATTCTGAGACTCTCTCCCCACAGAAATGGAAAGTATCGACCTTTGGGACGTTGCTCGGGTTCCTTTCATGTCGGTCGATGGCCGTGATGAGGTCATCGAGTGTCAGGCCCTTCTTGGGAACAACTGAAGCGCCGCCAGTCTCAGGCATCTTGACAGCCTATTCTTTTTAAGTTCCCTGGCAAAAGAAAACAAACACATCCCCTTATTCAACATTATACCTTGACTGGTCTATTCCATCCGTCCTACCTAACCCTTGGTACTTACTTCCCCCAATGTTAACACGATCGTCCCTCATACTTCCTCTACTTGGGAAGGTAAATTTCCTCACCTACACTTAGTCATTCATATATTCCTTCATTACCTTCTCATCACTCCTTTATGCCTTTTCTTATTCACTTCTCATACCC